AAAAAATAAGTAATAAAGTATTAGGCTTTATTTATAAGCTAAGATAATATAGTATTAATTATATATTTTAAGGTATTTATTTTAATATAAATTAATATATTAGGGTTATAATAATAAAGTATAAGTTTTTATTAAAAAGTATTAATAAATTCCTTAAATATTATTAATTTTTATTTTCCTAATATAATATTCCCTTTAGCCTTTTTTTTTATTAAGTTAGTTAAGGGTATTATAATTTTACTATAATTCTTTATAAATCTTTAATAAAAGTTAATAAAGTTAATAAAAGTAAAAATATTAATAATAATATATAAAATAGGCTAATTAATAATTACTTTTATATACTTTTTTTTTATTTTAATTTTATTTAAGGTTATTATAAACCTAAAATAAAAAACTTTTATTATATTAAATTTATATTTCTTAAGGTTAATAAATATTTTATATTACTTTAGCTTATTTAATACTTTTTAAATATATTATATATACTTAATAAGGTTTTTATTATAAATTAAGATATTATTTAAATAAATTATATAAATATAATTTATTAAGCCCTTAAGTACTTTATTAATATACTTTTAGAAAGTAATAGAAGTATTAGTTAGTTTAAAAAGTATTATTTAAAACTTATATAGCTTATATTTATACTTAAAGGCTATTTTTTTTTTATTTTTTTTATAAACTCTTATATAATAGTATATATTTTTTATATTTAGCTTAAAATAAATTTTTATATTTTAAAGCTAATTAAAAATTTTATAAATTAAGAGTAGTAATATATAATTTTTATATATTATTTTATTTAATATATAATAATTTATATAAAAGTATAACTTACTTTTTTTTTTTAAAATAAATAATATTAATATACTTTAGGAATTTATAAATTAATATATTTAATTTTATTATAATACTTACTTAATATATTTTTATAATATTTTTAGCTTTTTTTTTACTAAAGAGTAAATAAGTTTTTAAAAAAACTTTACTTTTAGCTTTAGATTTATTATATATATTAATTTTTATAAAAGTATTAGCTTTATTATTAATTTTAAATTAAATACTTTTATTTTATTTATATATTTTATAAATAAAAACTTTATAGTTTTTTCTTAAGGTAAAGTTATAAAAGTATTTTAGTTTATAATAATACTAATATTAAAATATATAATAACTAATTTAACTTAAGTTTTCTTTACTTAAGTATATATTTATTACTTAAAGGTTATTATTATTAAAGTTTTTATTAATATTAAATATTAAAAAAAATTATTTTTAATAATAATAATAAAATTTATTTAATTATATTATAATTTTCTTAAGATAATATTATTAAGTATTTTTATTATTATAAAGCTTATAAATATTTACTTTTTAACTTTTTAATTATTTTTTATTTTTAAAAACTAAAAAGTATAATTATATATTTTACTTAAGTTTTTATATACTAAAGTAATTATTAAGTTATTATTAAGTATTACTAAAATATTTTTTATTAAGTATTTACTTAATATATTAATATTATTTTTAATATTAAAAATAATAATCCTTAATTTTTATATTTCTTTTACTTATATTTATATTTTTTTTTTATTATAAAAAATATAATAAATAATAACTTAAATAAGTAAAACTTACTTTCCTAAGCTTTTTTTAAGATAATTAATTTAAAGTTTAAGCTTTATATTAAATTAGCTAAAATATTTACTTAAGGGTTATTATAATATTTTATAATATATTTTTTATTTTTATAATATAAGTAATTTAATTTTTTATAATTTATAAAATAATACTTAAGAGTTTTATATTTATAATATATAATACTTAATAAAAGTTTATATTTTTTTTACTTAAAAGTAATTAAAGGGTTATTAATTAAAATATTATTTTTTATTTAACTTAAAAATTATTTTAATATAACTAAAACCTTTTTCTTTTTATATAAAGTATAAAAAGTAAGTTTACTTTTTTTAAAATAAGTAATATTTTTTTTTTATTTATTTTTTTTATTAAAATTATTAATAATTAACTTTACTTTAAAGTATTTTTTATAAAAATTTTATTATATAATAAAAAGTTTTTTATAAAAAATATATTTTTTTATTTTTAAAAATATTTTTTAAAAAAAAATTAAAATTTTATAATTATTTTTTATATAATATAAGATTTTATTATTAGTTTTTTTAAATTATTTAATAAACCTTTTTATAATTTTACTTTTTTTTTAATATATAATATTTAATATTTTTTTTTTATTAATAATATAAAATTAAGTATTTTTAACTTAGTTTTTATATTACCTTAAATATTATATATAAGTAATATTATTATAATTTTATTAAAATTCCCTTTTAAAATAATTAATTTAATATTATTAAGCTTTTTTTTTAAAATAAAAGTTTATTATAAAAACTTTATATACTTTATTAATAATTTTTTTAAATATAAATAAAATATTAAGTTTAAAAATATAATTTTAGTATTTTTCTTAAGTTTTTTTTTTAAATATAAGCTTTAGAAAATATAATTTTTAATTCTTTATATAATTTATTAACTTTTTTATAAATTTTTCCCTAAGAGTTATAATAAATAATTTAAAAAAAGGCTTTTTTTTATAAAAAAAATATTTTAAATTTTTTATTTTAAAAATTAATAAAATTTACTAAATATTAAGTAAGTTTTTTTTTTAATTTTTTTTTATAATAAAAATTATAAAATTAAGTAATTTATTTTTAATTAAAAAAATATATTATTTTTTAAAAAAAGCTAAGGGATTTAAAATAATAAATTAAAAATTATATTAAATATTAAAAATTAAAGTATTAATTTAAAAAGTAAATTTTTTTTTAAAAAATATTATATAAAATATAAGGCTTTACTATATATTTTTAAAATATAATTAATTTTTTACTTATTTTTAAATAATAACTTTTATTATTTTTACTTTAATAATTTTTTACTTTTTAAAAAAAAAAAAATTTATTAAAAATAATAATATATAAAAAAGTAATAAAATTAAGAAAAAGTTTTAATTATTATAAAAGAATAAAGCAGCTAAAAGGTATATAATAATTATATTTATCTTTAACCTCCTCTTAAACTAAGGGGATTTACGCTTTTTTATATAGTAAATCCTAGCCGTAACTAGCCTTTAAGCAGCGACTTCGGCAGCACTCGCCGGCTCTATGGCTCCATAATGCCTCTTCCTTCCTTAGACCCCTGACAAAGCTCAACGTCTGCTCTCCCTTTCTCAATAGTTTCCAATCCGTCAACTCCGCCAATCATCACCGCAGCCACCGTGTCGTTGAAGCTTGACCTGCGATATAGAGTTGATCCGCAGTCTCCGCAAAAGTAACTCGTCATAACATTGCCAGTCGCGGCTTCTTTGGCATATGTTTTGAGCGTCCCCTGAAGAACCTTGAAGCCAGCAAGGGGTAAAAGGATGTTGTTGGTGTTCGTAGAGCCGGAGAATTTGCGGCAGTCAATACAATGGCATCGCATCTGAAAAATTGGCTTAGCATGATGCAAGTACCCGGGGTCAAGAGTCTATACAATACCCTCACAATTATGTCGCCATCAAAAGATAGGCGATTCATGCCACAAAGACAGCTGCATTCGAACATGGTATAGAGAATTAGCAGCTTAGGATATAAAATTTGTGCCGTAAAATCTAATTCAATCTGGTGCATGTATCTATAGAGTTTGGGGGGTGAGAAATGTTTCAATTCTTGAGGAGATTCTGACAGTACTTATAATTCAGCTCATTCCCTCTTATCACGCAGATGGCTGGTATTTTCTCAAAGTTCCGAGCATTAATCCAGCACATGACGTGTATGATCGGAGATATGATAACTAAACCAGGTATCGTGAAAGCATTGCTTTGTTGTTTTGAAATTAGCGATCCTTGTGTGCTTGGTGCCACTACTGGTATTAACTGCTATGGTTTTACTGTGTAAGCAGTAAGTCTAGGGATTGAGGCAGATTATTATTAGACAGGATCCTCTAAGCTTTCCCTCCTCCATACTTAGTGTGCTTAAGGGCCGGACATAAGAAAAGCGTGTCACAGGAATAATCTCACAACTGCCCGCGTCAGCTGATATTTTCAATAGCCCACCCCTCCCATAAGTCCGGTACCTTTTGCAGGGTTCGGATATAAAGCCCACGAACGACCCATGGCCCCTATTGTCGGACATAAAGTTTTCAAGCTTCACCTTTTTACGTTGTCCAAGTAATCGGAAATCTATTTCCTCACAGCCACATCTCTATACAGGGAAATAATCGCTCAATTTGGTATGGGGGACATGCAACCTGTCTCCGGAGACCGACCGCGCAATGGCGAGAAGAGACGTCGAAATCGAGCAGCACTGAGCTGCGTTCCTTGCCGGGAGCGTAAATCAAAATGCGATAGACAGATACCGTGTTCTGGCTGCCAGAATCGAAAAATGGTGCATTTGTGTTACTACTTTGCGAGGCAGCGGAAACACGCCCACGATGCTGTTGCAGCAGCGTCATCTGACAGCCAACAAGCATCGGCTTCGTCCACGTCTTTCCCGGATAATACCGCCCAATGGAGAAACTCACAAAATGGCTCGAATTATAATTCCCTTGGTACGCTGTATCAGCATGAGAATGGGGGTATTACATACAAAGTTCGGCAATCCCATTGGTCGTCCGCCTTGCCAAGTTTGTCAGAAACACTCAGCACCCCGTCACTATCGACTACATCGCCACGCCTCGCTCCCTTGCAACTTGACAAGTCTGATTCAACGAATCGGAACACGGGTAATACAGAATCCTGTTCTCAACTCCTCTTATCTTTACCCGCCAAACAGCACTGCAAATACTTAGTGTCGCGCTTCTTTGCCGTCTTTTCTCCGCTGATCCATGTGCTTCACGATCCCACTTTTCATCGCGAGTACGAAACCTTTTTACAAGATCCTAAATCCGTCCCGCTTTCATGGCTGGCTTTGTTATTCACCATACTGTCGCTCGCGACTATGACACTGGACGACGATGACTGGGTACTGGACGACCTGGGTAGAGAAGCCGATGGTCCGAGCAACGTCAAGGCCATCGCCACCCGGTTCAGGAAGGCTGCTATGAGCTGCCTTGAAGCCGACGACTACATGTCCCGCCACCGGCTTTCTACTCTACAGTGTTTGGTTTTGATGATATATGCCATCAACCACTCTCAAGGGAGTGGTTCAAGTTGGCCTCTGTTAGGTATGCGGCAAGGCCATTCAGCATGTTCAGCTCTCCGTCTTTGGTTTCTACTGACACAAAATTAAAGGGCTCACTGTGCATGTTGCTATATCTTTGGGTTGCCATGTCGATGGTGAAAGTCTAGGGATGAACTACATAGAAGCCGAGCAGCGAAGACGGTGCTGGGCCTGCCTAAAGGTGCTCTATATGATACAGGCTTTGTGTTTCGGCAATGTCGGGCTATTCGCCTTGCCAAAGTTCCAAGTCAGGCTACCGATGGATGTCGACGATGATGATATACGTCCAGATTCGCTACCAACTCAGACAGATGGACCAACCCAGATGACCTACATGCTTCTCAAAGTCAAGCTATACAGTCTCGTGGATCAGATAGCTGACCAAATCCTCGGCGTGGAGCCTCCTTCGCATGCAAGCATCGCTGCCCTTGACGCGGCCATTGAGCGCGAGCAAGAAAGCTGGGATGCAATATATCGCAGCCACCTTCGAAGCGACAAGATCCAGGGATTTCAGCGAGTCCACTGGAACATTTTGCACAGCCATGCGCATCAAATCTATCTGCTAATCCACCGACCTCTGTTTGGCGAACCGGCCGAGAGCGGCTTTCTGCAACGGTCTAGGGCTAGATGCATAACATCTGCGACTGCTCTGCTGGATATCCACGCGCTTTTGTCTGACGAAGAACGCTTTCGACAATTTCGATGGTACGGATTCGGCTTGGGGAGTTTCCATGCATTCCACGGTGCAGTGACTTTGGCGGCTGCTATCCTTCAGAACAGAGATGGTGAATCAAGCTACGAGATGCAGTCGGTTCTCAACGAAACCACCAACAGATTCCAGTCTCTTTCGGGAAGAAGCCCGATCTGCGCCAAAGCATACACAATTCTCAAGTATCTTCAGTAAGCATCCCTACCGTAAAGTCGAAGAATCGAAGCTCAATCTTTATTCAGATCTTTAATAGCGGACCATTTTCGACTCCCACTTTCTGGTGAGAGTGAACCATCGACTCCTCTTTCGACAATGATTGCGGCACAGCTGCAGGCAGCCAGATGGCTTAGCCCAGCGACGGTGGATTGGGTAAGGTTGCTTGACAAACAACTTGTACAAACTTTTTTGTTGCTAACATATGGCGCTCAAGGAGAAATGGAATAAATTTGTAGAAGCCACAGAGTTTTGACTCGATTAGAAGTAAACCGGTTGTTAAGCAGCAGTTGGTATTCAAGAGCTTCAAGTGGAGAGTGGCACCCTAACAAGCCACCCTTGGCACATACATCTTCCATGTTGTCAGCCCCTACTAGAAGAATATACTCCGTACAAACGGACTGAAAAGGAAGCGATTTCGCTTAATCGCAGTGAAACAATGACGATCACGAGCGATGCCAAGAGATCATGATCAAAGTTACTACGACCCCCCACACCTCTTAAGAAGTGTACCCAGGATCGATGGTATGGGTCTGCGAAACAAGCTTTTTGAGCCCTGCCAAGAAATGACATGATAGGATACGGATCGACAACCGTTCTCTTTGGCATCTCCTATTAGGTACTATCACTACCTCTTTCTAGTGACGGAGTTGGATGCCGGCGCTATATTTGCACTTGAACGCGGTCTTTGGATGTAACAAGCCAACATATGTGCATATGAATCACAGCAGTCCTACCAAAAAGACATGTTGGTGCTATCCCATTGGATGTCAATTCAAGCGGGCAAGAAAGTCCGCAGTACATGAGGTATCGCCTGGTACTGTTCGGTAACTCGTATTTCTTGGTGTGATATTGAGTAGTGGATATGCAGACGAGTGGGAAATGGCAGCATCGTCGCATGCACATCTTGTTACTTACTGGGTTAGCTGCCCGGCATAGCCTCGATGCTACTCGTATACGGGGTCCTTTTGGTATTCCATAGAACCTCCAGCTGGCACGGCAGGATACGATGTTCGTGTGGCATTAGCCTGCATTCACCAGGCGGTCTAGACTTGGACACTAACCTGGACGATATATGAGAATCCCGCTTTGTAAGACTTCAACTATATTACTTTGCGTGGTGGCGCAAATTTTGACGCTTCGGGCGGAAATGATTGACCATGATCAAGATTGCCAATCTCCTTAGGTATGGATGTTGCACGGGAGAAGAAATTGGGAAAAGAGGGCGAAAGCCCGTTATAAGAAGTTGTTGGTTCTTTCTGATACTCTGGTCTTACACCAATGTCCGATGCCCAATCAAAACGCCGTCTCCATTACGTGCTTCTTGTACAGTAGATGGTCGCCCTCTCATATTCACGGTATAGTACTGTAGCACGAAGCTAATTAGCGAAAGGCAGGGATGACAGCTTCGGTGTTGGTGAGTGGAGAGCAAGAGGAGGGCATGAATTATGGAGGAATGTTGACATAGAAAGTTGCGATGCAAGGGGGTGCTGACCCTCGATGTCTATCGTAATCATTAATTTGGGTGATGTTACCACTTTGTCAAGGTAGCAGTCACTTCTGGGACTCCACCTCTCATGCCCCTTTCTTTGTTGCTTGATCTAGAAGATTCGTGATATGTTGACGTAGAGCAGTTGTTCTGCGTTTGCTGGCCGTGGCTCAAAACATGGCTATCAATAGTCGTAAAAGCAGTAGCAGTAGCAGGCAGATTAGTACCTAGTCTTAGATAAGTGACTTAATATTCGGTAAAAGATTCCTTTACATCCTGTTCCGACACTTGAATCTCACGCAGTCGCCGGTGTGCAGGATAGCAACCTTGTGGCGGTGAAATAGCCACTCTCTTATCTAGGTTTACCTTTACACAAGCCAGGTAAGAGGTATCAATCAAGGAGAGTTGAAATTAAGCCTTTCAACGCCTGGTTTGCCCCTTTCCTTCTCTTTCTTTAAGAGACTCGGCAGAAGCCGGCGTAGTTCTCATCATCACCATGTTCAAGGTTCAATGCAGGGTATAGGAGAGTTGAGGCACACTTGGAAGTTGTATTGCCTATTTGGGATGCTGGTTCATCCGTGGACGACGAAGTACCTGATGGCAAGTACTACCTCTGTTGGTAGGTAGGATATTACTAGGGAGACAAGACGCACATGTCTTGATTTCACTCCCTTACTGGGAGACTGGGATGGAAGAGATGCAGGCCCAACCCGCGATGGAGGTACAGGGAGGTATCTGGATGTAGAGGCTGGGTTTCTGATGCACGATTTGGGTACGGGTACTGTACCTGTTTAACACGCAACATTTACTAATGCGGAGGTTAACTGTCTGTCATCAGTCCATCCTGGAACCTCGAGGTAAGGAAGTGCCTTTGGTCAAGGATCTGCCAAGTGACTGGTGAATCAACATCCATCATTATTCTAGTACTACCTAGTACTTGGTAGAGAGTATCAACATCTCTTCTGTTGGTTACTATACGTTATTTATTACTATTGAGTTAGGTAGTATGGGATGCTGGAGAATTGATACATGCCGTCACTGCCCTTGATCACAACTGTATCTGACAAACACTGGACCCTTTTCGGCACCAACGCCGCGGCCATCGAGGGGAGTGTCCAATTGTCGATATTCCGATGCAGGCATTTGCCCAATACGAGGCTGCGGCTTTGTGGGGACTGGAAAAAGGTTACATGTAAGATATGTCGCATCGGCGGGATAGATACAAGCAGGGTTGTAAATTAGTATTTAGTATTTAGTTACTAATTTAGTATTAGTATTAGTATTTAGTATTTTTAGTATTAGTTACTAAAAAATTAGT